CGCCGCCTCAGGTGAACGGCGGCCCGCCTCCAGACCGGCGAAGGCGGCTCTTGTGTCCCCCGCAGGGCGGGTGTCTGCTGGGGATGGAGGCGGTTCCTCCAGCTGATAAAAAAAAAAAAAAAAACATCAAGAGAAATAACGGGGAGGTGTGCATGGGTGTGAAGATTTCCAGAAGCCGCCCTGATGGCGGTGTCCGCTACCGGCACATATTCCCCCCACACGCCTTAGAGGCAGAGAGAGTGAGGCACCATAGAATGGTTTGGGTTGGAAAGGAGCTTAAAAATCATGGAGTTCCAACCCCCCTGCCATGGGCAGGGTCACCTCCCCCAGACCAGGTTGCTCCAAGCCCCATCCAGCCTGGCCTTGAACCCCTCCAGGGATGGGGCAGCCACAGCTTCTCTGGGCAACCTGTTCCAGTGTCTCACCACCCTCACAGCAAAGAATTTCTTCCTAATATCTCATCTAAATCTACCCTCTTCTTATTCCCCTAGATATTTCCACCAGGCCAGAGTCACTGCTGGTTTCCAAGCTCCTCTGACATGTTTCACTGCATTTTTGAGGCTGTATTGTGGTAGCCCTTTAGCTCAGCGGCCAGGCCCTGCATTCCACGGACCCATAGCCCTCGCTGGGCCCAAGCGGGGCTCACTGGGGCCACCAGAAGCTGCACTAGGCTGATGGTGCCTACACTGTTGAAGGCAAGCTGTACGCTTCAATTTGCCATGGCACTGCTGTCGGCATCCTCCTCCTGTCCGTCCCTCGCTCCCGTCTCATCTCAGCCAGCAGCAATAACCTGCCTCCAGAGTGGTTTCGGGTTTTTGATCTCATTCCTGAAATTACAGCTTGCAGCCAAAAACTAGAGGGCTGTCGCCAACAGAACTCTCCACCTGTCCTTGACACTCGAGCACCCCGAAGCCTTTCAAATACAGGATCACTCAGCGCTCAAGGTTAGCAAAGTCAGCCTTCCCCAAATTCACTTCGGGCATTTATTTCTGCTATTGAACAAGCACAGAGTTCCCTGATCCAGAAAGCAGAAACCCGGCAGTAAACACCTCAGAGCAATAAAAAGCAAAACACCGAAGCTCCAGGCTCTGAGCCTGCGCCTATATTCTTCTACAGGGAGCCGTTGTATGTTTGTAATGCTTTTCATTGATTTATTGGATTGGTACAACACATGAGCCAGAAGGTCTTGTACCTGCCAAAAGAAAATGTCTCCTACACCCAGGAAGTCCAGCTGTGTTTTCTGAGACCTTGTATTTCTGATGTCTGTCCAGCCCCAGACCTGTGTGACACGTTTTCCTGTAGTGTTAGGAAGCAGAGTTTACTGACTGCAGCAGTGACAACATCGATTCAGAAATCGTGACGTATGTAAAGGTAGGTGCTTACTTAATTCTCACATAAGCATCTTTTAAAAAGGAAAAAAAAAAAAAAAGCAAAACAACGAACCAAACCAAAACACAAGCAGGAAAACCAAAGAAAACACATCATAGCAACCAAGGAAACCATTTCATCCAAAAGATCACAGGCAGTCTGTTATAATGTGAAAGATCAAAACAAAATCCCAGTGTGCACGGGGCTGCCAATTTCTTTGAAGTAATTTTCCACATCTTCTTTAGAGTTTCTCTTTCTGGCCAGTTTCATGTCTGATTCCAAAAGGATCGCACCACTTTAATAATTAAAAAAAAAATCACGAAAGATGTGGTCTGAACTTTGATTACTTGGTGCATTTTCTTCTCCAAAAGATAACCAATGTAGCACGTATCAGCAGCACAGTGTATTTGATGGCATTTGGGCTATTAGCAGGAGGGAGGACACCCTCCCATGCCTTTTTGTCCCCGTTGTCTGATATTAAAACAGTAGAATCCTCACCACCAAGCCCAAAAATGCTTGTTTGTGCTGGTGGATGAGGAGCAGGAAGATGTGTGGGCTGTACAGCCGCTCTCTTCCTCCTCACTCAGTTGACCCGCGCTGCCCTTGCCCCATTTAATGGCCTTGGGCAACAGCCAGAAATGGCTTTTTCACTGGCCAGTTTGTCAATGTGCATGTTGCTCTCCATCAGCTAGATTTCAGAAAGTAATTATCAGCAAACAATCAGGCTGATCTCCCTATACTCCCTGTCTGTCACATATAACATTTATTGTTAATCTCTCTTAACAGAAAACTTCCCCATTAAGATACATTATAAAGCAACTTACTTTCTCTGTGTTGCTGATATAGGTGATGTTTAAAAATGAAGAATCATTTACTACAATTTACCCAGCTTGCTTTCTCCTTATACTGGTTGTGCTATTGTTTATTCGTAGTTCTCTTAAAATGAGATTTGGCTTCAGTTTCACTCTCAAATATCAGAGATGATCAGTCATTTATAGAAAAATGCCTCCGAAAGAGTGGTAATTTTTGAATGTAAAATCTCTAAGGGGAAGGGAGAAGGTAAGTATCACTATTATTGCTGCATTACCACTTGTGCTGGGTGACAGTCACTGTTCACCCACAATGTTAGTCCAAAAAAGAAGAAATCTCCATCTCTTCTGACTCAGATTCGAATTCAGTCCCAGTCAAGACAAAACAAATTAGCAATCATGGGAAAAGCAACATTAGGAGTTAAATGATTTCAGGTGTGCAGGACCTGAATTTGAAATCTCCTTTTACAAGCGACAGCTGGCAGTTTAGGGCAACATATAGTGGGCAGCAAAAGACTAGCTAAATTAGCAGGGCAGTTTCTGTAGGTCTGGGATTTGGGTCCCAGAGAGGAGAGCTGCCTGTCAGAATCACGAGACACGGAAAGTAAGGAACACAGTGGGAAATACACATCAAAAGAAAAAGTGTTTTCATAAAATAAATGTGGTTCCCAAACCCTGTGAAAATCTAGTCCGGAGGAAATTTTTAATAAACATCTGAAAGTAAAAAACATTACATGTTTTATATTTAGAGATGTAAACATTTATTTTTAACTAAAATTCTCATTAGGACCACAAAGATTATGAGGGGGTCTGGAGCATCTCTCTGATGAGGAAAGGCTGAGGGACTTGGGTCTTTTTAGTCTGGAGAAGAGAAGGCTGAGGGGGGATCTGATCAACGCCTATAAATACTTAAAAGGGTGGGTGTCAGGAGGATGGGGCCAGTCTTTTTTCAGTGGTGCCCAGGGACAGGACAAGAGGCAATGGGCACAACAGGAAATTCCATCTAAACATGAGGAAGGACTTCTTTGAGGGTGGCAGAGCCCTGGCAGAGGCTGCCCAGGGAGGTGGTGGAATCTCCTTCTCTGGAGACATTCCAAACCCACCTGGACACGTTCCTGTGCAACCTGCTCTGGGTAGACCTGCTTTGGCAGGGGGTTGGACTAGATGTTCTCCAGAGGGACCTTCCAACCTCATAGCATTCAGTGATTTTTTAATTTTTTTTTTACCATTTTCCTTCGCTGCCATAACTCCCCATTGACACCTCTCTCTCAGTCATTAACATGCTAACGTATGTTGAACCCGTACTTACATTCTGGCACAGCATACCGGTTCCATCACTGGGAAGCATTTTATCTGAAAGGTGCCCTTCAATTACAGCTTCATTATTTCAACCTGTCTGGCTTCAGAGAGCTACAGGTGGGTAGGCACTGGCCTGGCTTTGTTCCCCTGGAGCTCTGTCCTGCCACTGACTTCAATCAGCAAGCAGCTGGGTTGACACCCCGGGCTCTGAACCCCTCCCAAAATGAGCCTTACGAGGGAAAGCAGCACTAACGAGGAGGCCTATGGAGCTCACTTACAGAACAAACACTGGTGATGCTTCTGTAGGAAATTCACTCCTGGGTAGTGCCCATGGGACATGGATGTCTGTGCTGGACTTCTGCAGCAGGAAGGTGTGTTCCTTCCCCACCCTCCTAGTCACCTTCCCTGAAAAAGAAGCAATTAGAGAAATGACCTTCAAATACAGCAAAAAAAAAAAAAAAAGAGAGCAAAGCTAGAGTACCTGGAATTACTGTGTCCTTTGGGTGAATATTTCCAGGTTTGAATGGAAAGGACACTTTCTGCAAAGGGACATAAGAAGATACAACAAGAGATCTGAAATCCTTAGGGTTAGCAGGTGGGGTTAAGAGTGAATAATTAAGTGTCACAGAATCATAGAATTGTCTAGGTTGGCATGACAAGAGATCCGAAATCCTTAGGGTTAGCAGGTGGGGTTAGGAGTGAATAATTGTCACAGAATCATAAAATTGTCTGCGTTGGAAGGAACCTTTAACATCATCTAGTCCAACCATCAACCTCACTCTGATAAAAAACCATCACTAAAAGCCATCACTTAGTTAATACCGGGCATTTTTACTTTTTACACAGTTGGAACCTCCATAAAATACATACTTGAGGAAAAGACCAGGGTGATGAGAAGGATGGGTTTTCTTGAGAGCCATGAATGAGTTTCTGCATGGCCAGGGCTGCAGGGATCCACAGCTCCCTCCCCCGGTGAGGACAACTGTCAACCCATTGCAAAAGGGGCTGCACAAAGAACTTGGCTTTAAGTGGTATCATTTAGGCACCAACAGTGCCTAAAAGCAATAAAAATATTGCTTTTGAAAAATCTAGGCATAGATGTGCCTGACACATTTCATCATCTTCAGTCAGAAGGTCACAGGCCAGAACCAGAAATATCTGCCCTTTTAACTGGCAGCTAAAAAGGAGAGAAAGGCTTTCAGTAGCACATCCTTTGGATCTCTCTTGAAAGAAAAGCCAAAGTCTTTGCTTAAAAAGCATATTCCTCCACACACAATTTTTCATAGCCCTCCCCCATCAGATAGATGTATGATATTCCTAGTATTTACAGTAAGAATCTAGAAAATCACACCTTTCATGCCAGGTAATATATACATGCAAGATAATAAAAACATTTATTTTTTTTACAAAGGTCATAGGATTTATGTTTCTTCAAGAAGACATACGTATATAAACCATTGTGGACTAATTG